GCTTAAGTGGAGAGCAAATGTTTTGAGAATGATGAGGGCAATGAATGTACAAATGTGCTTTACACAATTGATGTTTGTATAGATTGTGATAAGAGTTGTATGAGCCCTTAATAAAATGATTAAAAAAAACTAGAGCACAAATAAATAAAATCAAAAACAGGAAATAAATAGAATCAATAAGACAGACAAACCTTTAGCTGCACAAAGAAAAGAGGATAAAGGGTGAAGATAACCAAAATTCAAACAGAAGAGAGGACACTGCAACAACTGATCCGATCAAACAGGATAGTGATGGAATATTATGAACAACTATTTAACAACACGCTGGGGAACCTAGATGAGATGGGCAGAATGTTAGAGACACATACCTACCCAAAATGACTAAAGAGGAAATACTAAATCTTGACAGACAATAAATGAAAAAATAGTGATTAAAAAAAAACTCAACAAAAAAGTCATGGATTTGATGACTTCATGAGGAAATTCTATCAAATATTTAGAGAAAAATTGACACTGATAATGCCTAAGCTCCTCCAAAGATAAGGAAGGAATATTCCATAATTTATTCTATATAGCAAACATAACCCTGAAACCTCAGGAGAAAAAGGCATGCAAGAAAACTACAGACCAAGATATTTTATGAATATAGATACAAAAACTCTCAACAAAACACTAGAAAACAGAATCCAACAGCATACTAAAAGCGTCATACACTATGCCCAAGTGGGATTTGTTCCAGTAAAGCAGGGATGGTTGAACCTCATAAAAGCAACCAACATAATGTACCACATCATTAGAACAAAGGAAAAGAATCACATGATCATCCCTATGGATGCAGAAAAAGTATTTCACAAAATTCAACTCTTTTTCTTGATGAAAACCATAAAGATTAGAATTGGAGACAAATTCCTCAATTTGATTCAGAGGAGTAATGAAAAGTCAGCATCCAACATTATGCTTAAGGAGAACTTTCTCTTTAAATTGGTAACAGCCAAGGGTGCTAGCTTTCATCACAGCTATTTATTGTGAGTCGGAATTGACTTCATGGCAGTGAATTTGGTATTTTTTTATTCCATATTGTATTACAAGTCCTAATAAGACAAGAAAGAGGAATAAAAGGTATTCAGATGGAGAAAGAAGTAAAATTATCTCTATTCATGAATTCATGAGTATTCTATTCATGATATTGTTCTATATGAATACACAAAAAATCAAAAGTCAATAAGAAAACGTCAAGAGCTAATATAGGAATTTGGCAAAGTCACAAGGCATAAAATCAACAAACAAGACCAAGCTACATAATTGTACACGTACAAACCCCTCAATTGTGTATTTCATTGTGTATTCTCTCAACAACAACAATAAGTAAAATTTAGGAAAATAAGAAAACTCTATGGAAACCTACTCAGATGTATATAGGCTCATAGTCGGGTTGGAATTGATTGAATGGCGACTAGTTATGTATGTATATGTATACTTTTATACATATATACAGCATAATATACAACTTATCAAATAAATTTCTAAGTTATGTTCTATAATCTTCAGGTTAAACTCAAACTGGAAGTTTTAGGTTTATATATTTATATCTCACTATGACAAACCTTCTAGCAAACTAGGAACCAAAGAAAATGAGAAATATGAGACAAAGTATCTACAATCAGAGGACAAACTCCTCTAGTCTGGGAGTGGGGAGGGGAAGGGGGTGTAAATAGGAATAAAAGTTAAGGATCAACTATTACTCAGAATCGTCTCTCCTTTGTGGAATCACAGCACAACCCTCTAGCAAGCTCTAACCACCACAGCTTTATATCCTCACTCTTCCACACATTGTTCCCTAAGGGTGGATGGATAGACAGTTGAATGGATGTATAATAATCAGGAAACTGATCCAAAGAAAAATTGAGCTTCTAAATGAGATCCATAGCTTTGAACAAGTAATATACTGCCTTTAACCATCATGTGAATGCTTTCACTTATAATTTTTAATTTTATCAATATGCAGGATATTTTTCTAAGAAAATACAGCTTCAATCTTAAAATGGAAGACAATCCTTCATTTCATTTTATGCAAATGAAAAAATTCATATTCTAGAATATGTTCACATCTTAAAAAATTTTAAGCCTATATTTAAATTATGTTGGCTGAGTTATATACACTGGTAGCAAACCGCTATTACCCACTTTTTCAGGTTTAGAAGAAATATGTAACATATTCTCTAGCCCATGAAAGAGACACTAGAGAAAAATACTAGTGCTTAATTTTGTGGTTAGAAATATTAACACACAAAATTAAGCACTAGCATTTTTCTCTAGTCTCTTTTTTGGACACATAAAAGAAATTATCATATTTTTATACCAATAACACATGCATTATATGAGATTTTGCAAACCACACTACACCCTCTCAGCTTCTCTGACTCCCTGGATGCATGCTATGTGCATTGTATGTGTGGGTAAGTTATATCCAAAGACTAGGATACGAGTCAACTCATCAAAAAAGAAATAGCTTTGGACTATAGTTCCGTAAGATTTTTCTGTAAAGCAGCGGTTCTCAACCTGTGGGTTGCAACCCCTTTGGGGGTCGAACAACCCTTTCACAGGGGTCACTCGATTCATAACAGTAGCAAATACAGTTATGAAGGAGCAACGAACATAATTTTTTATATCATTTTATTGGGGGCTCATACAACTCATCACAATCCATACGTACATCCATTGTATCTCAAGCATATTTGTACATTCATTGCCCTCATCATTCTCAAACATTTGCTCTCCACTTAAATCCCTGGCATCAGCTCCTCATTTCCCCCCTCCCTCCCTGCTCCCCCCTCCCCCATAAACCCTTGATAATTTATAAATTATTATTTTGTCATATCTTACACTGTCCGAAGTCTCCCTTCACCCACTTTTCTGTTGTCCATCCCCCAGGGAGGAGGTTATATGTAGATCCTTGTAATTGGTTCCCCCTTTCCAACCCACCCTCCCGGTATCGCCACTCTCACCACTGGTCCTGAAGGGTTCATCTGTCCTGGATTCCCTGTGTTCCCAGTTGCTATCTGTACCAGTGTGCATCCTCTGGTCTAGTCGGATTTGTAAAGTAGAATTGGGATCATGATAGTGTGGGGGAGGAAACACTTAGGAACTAGAGGAAAGTTGTATGTTTCATGCAACGAACATAATATTATGGTTGGCGGGGTCACCAAAACATGAGGAACTGCATTGGAGGGTCGTAGCATTAGGAAGGCTGAGACCCACTGCTCTGAAGTGACAATAAATATTGTGGGCCACATAGAGTTTGTTTTGCATCACCTTCTTTGCTTTTAGAATTTGTGTGTGTATGTGTGTGTGTGTGTGTGTGTGTGTGTGTGCTATTAAAAAACTGTAAAAACCATTTTAAACTTTTGGGCCAAACAAATAGGCCTTGGATTGCTGGTCTCTGCTTCAGAGATTAATCAGAGTTGGACCCCTGCAGTGCCTCACCATTTAGTTTTTAACTGAGCCCAGGAAGGCATCCCCATCCTTTTCTACATTACCTCTCTCAGTCTCTCCAGCTCGTTCTGGAGGGCCAGCTTGGATATTTCCACTTCAATCATCTGCTGCCGGAGGGTTTCATTCTCATCTTCAGCTTTTGCACGCTTTTCCTCCACAGTTTCAAGTTCATGGTGCAACCTTACAGAGACATCTTTGGCTACCTGTATAGAGCCACAGGGAATCATCAAGATGGGAAGCTTTCTGCCTGTTGAAGGACATGTTCCAACAACCCCAAGGACAGAATAATTAAATATAGACAGTCCCCAGATTATGAATGATTTCCATTCCTACATCTGTCTTCAAGTCAGAAGAGTTAGTTATGGTTTGAATCTAAAGTCAATTAGTCAAATGTTTGTCTTAGTGTACAGTATACCTACTTTTTCATTTTAAAAAAAGTTAAAGAAACACTTCCAGAGACACTAAAAAATCTTCAGCCCAGTAATAAAGTAATAATAATATTTATATACATTTCAAAGTAGCACCCTTTTGTTGTTACAAACCATTGCATGTAGCTCAAAATTTTAATATAATGAGCTTTTACAAGGTTTGATTCATATAGGTTGTACATAAGTTGGGCATATGTAACATGGGGACTACAGTGAACCCTCGCCACTTCGCGCTTCGATTTCCGCGGCTTCACTCTATCACGGTTTTTGCGTAACAGCGCATGCTCTGTCATTACTGCCACTGATTGGCTCATACTGTACACGCTTCTGTCTGCATCGCTACGTATCGGAGCTACATATCAGATGCATTTTTGCTTTTGTACAGTGTACTGTAATTGTTTGCGATTTTTAGGAAATTGTATCTAAGCCCTATGATGGCTCTTAAATGAGCTGCTTCTTCTAAGCCTTCTGACAATAAAAATAAGCGCCAGAGGAAGATGCTCACCATCCAGAAAAAGGTAAAACTTTTGGATATGATCAAAGATGGCAAGAAAATCGTGGAGGTTGCACGCCATTTCGACTTGAATGAGTCTTCCGTTCGCTCCATCCGTTGTACTTCATAATATAATAAATAATAAATGATAATTGTAACGTCCAAAATGTTTTACTGCATTTTCCCTTTTTCATTTAATAAATTGGGTAATACGAGTGTAATGGTGACTAAAGGGTGTTTTTTCATGTCCTCTATGCTCTAACTATGAAAATATTTTGATTTACAAATAAGGAATCCTACTTCGCGGAATTTCATTTATCATGGTAGGGTCTAGAACCGATTAACCACGATAAACGAGGGTTCACTGTACACCAAAGAGAAGAGACCTGGAAATATTTAATTAAAAAATATTTAATAAAATGAAGAGATGAAATCTGCGTTATGAGGGAGAATATGACTTTCATGTAAATTAAAAAGACACTTTGAATAACTCTCTTATTATAGAATATCACCAAGAATACTATTTCTCCCCATGCACACGTTTTAAGAGATAAACTAAAATTAATAATATGGTAATAAACAAATAAACATCTCTGTCCACTAAGGTAATATTGTCTGCTAAACAACAACCAAAAAAAAAGACAAGAAAGAAATCTGCATGCATTAGATGAGTACTGCAGCCAAGGTTTAAACAGTCCACTGTTTCAACGTCTATGGTAAAATGCCTCAATGTTAAATGTAGTTCAACAGTCTTCCTTTCGAGCAGTAAATGAAAAAAGAGACTTTGGAAGAGAAATATAAATTACCCTTAAATCACACTGAATGACATTTCATCAGTGGTTTATAACTTTTATAGAATTACCAAGATTCTTTTCTTGTTATCATATGGGAGGCTAAATGAAATTTCACAAGTACTTTCATAAGAAGGATGTTGTGAGTAATTCACCTCCAGATAAATGATTTGAAAATCAGATCACGCGAGAACTATGTTTCCCAGGGAGAGAGAAATGACGTAAAGTCTGAAATTTCTTCACTCATGTCTGCCCAGGCTGCCAATAATCTCACAGATACTACTAGGGTTATGAGAATTTCATAGTTTTCTGAGTCCGAGAAACTTAAATAGCATAAAAATGTTAAGTGATTTTTTAATGTAAAGTGATTATGATATTAACCATAGAGAGTGACCTTTAAAATATAACTGGATTGATAACCAATAATTTTTAAAAATATAGTTCAGATCTTTATATTTCCATATAATTCCAAAACCGAATTCCCTGCCATCGAGTCATTTCCAAATCCTAGCAACCCTATAGGACAGCATAGAACTGACCCTGCGGGTTTTCTAAGACGATACATCTTTATGGGACCAGAAAGCCTCATCTTTTTTCCTAGGAGCAGCTGGTGGTGTCAAAGAGTTAAACCTTTGGGTTAGCAACTGAGATAGTTTATTGTACCAGCCTGGCCGATAAACACATGTGGGATTAATTGAAGGGCGGAAGGATAAATGGCTCGGCGACCCTCGCCTTTGTTGTCTCTTGCTCTTTGAACGTCGGACCAGTGTGCAGCTGCCTTGCTTGTTCTGTGCCTCAATTTGCAAGCTACACTACCTGTGGGACACCTAACCTGTGGACTGTGTCACTGTAATCTGAGGTCCCTTGAAGACCTGCCTTGCCACAGAATTGGAATGTATATCTCTGGAGCTAAGGACTAACTGTTGGTGACCTGGCTGACTGTTGGTGATCTGCCTTGCTGCTTGCTGCCTGTGCAGGGATAGCCTGATTCTCTCTCTACAGAGGACTACCGGACGGCCCTCAAGTCTTGAAGGGCTGCCAGTGTCTCAAAACTCACATGAGGGAGTTGCACTGGGCCACTTGTACTGCTTTATAATTTAACTGTTCATTTCTTGTGCTATATATCTATCTTTATAAAATTATTAGCAATCTGGTTTTATCTCTCTAGAGAACCCTGTTTAACACACAACCCAATGCCTAACCCACAAATACCACCCGTTATAATTACATATTTTAATATAATTAACACTTATTCATTGTTTTAATGTAAATCTATTATTTTGAATTCTTTGGCTCTAATATTCCAGTTCACAAGTCTTGAACAAGGGTAGTTATATGACTCCACATCAACCCATAAATCACAAAGCCGATGCTGAAATCTGATGAATTTCAGGAAACCTTTAACCAGAATCAGTGGGTCAATGAGTTGGGACTATATTTCCAGATGAAGAACCTGCTCACCCACCTTTAAGTCCTGTTCCAGACTCCGGATCAGCTCGCCATCCACTTCCCCATTCTGAGTCACCTTCAGGCTCTTCTGCTCAGCCTTCCTGAGACGGTACTGCAGAATTCGACAGTTTTTATTTGCACGGTCCAGTTCTCGCCGAAGTTCCTGCAGCTGGTAAACATCTTCTTCTAAATAATTGTCCCTCATTTCTTCCATTTCAGCACGGAGTTCATCCAACTCATCCTACACGAGCCAGACAGAGCAGATTTATAAGTCAACGCCGTCAAAAGAAAGGTGATGTTCCTCTCCCTCCTCCAACACTCCTCAGCCCCAAATACTAAATGCCTGCAACCATACCCACCACCTTAGGGCCACATCTGTGACATGGCAGAGGAGCCTCTGTACATGTCCTACGAGGTAACATCACCAAATATCTGCCCACATCTTACCAATCCTCAAATTGAAAACCAGTGTGGAGTATTCTTAGCAGCCTCTCACAATTTATTCCACTCCCAACATTCCCTTACATAATCATACTCAGAAAGGAAATAAAATCTGTAAACAGACCTTTAAATTCAAACCAAACATAGTCCTAGCCTATATCTCAAAAGCACACTCTAAATACTAAGATGAATGAGACTAACCCTGCCTTCAAAGAACATAAACCTTAGTGTGATAATAATAATAATAAATAAGTAACTGTTAACTGCCCCGGAAATATTATACACCTTCAAATGTCCTAAAAATTATATCCACAATGCAAAATGCATCATGTGACTTTGTAATTCACCATTCAAAACAAGAAATCTTCTCAAATACAGAAAATAAATGTTATGAATGTTGAGTTTGTTTTTTCCATTTACCTATCATTTATGCCCATCTGAATTCTACTTTTCAATCAACAGGAAGATAATTTGAATATAGGAGAATCTTCCTCTTTCCCGCAATTCCACATGCATCCCATCAGCATCCTGGCAACTCAGCATCAGTGCAGTCTCTCCAAAGGGCAGCCTCTGTGTCAGGGGTTCATAGAGTCTACTAGAACAGAGATGAAGAGGGTTTCCCTACTTCCTCTCTTGACTCCTAATTTTCCCAGAGTCTGTTCTCCATCCAGAGGAGTTCTTTTAATGTGTAAATAAGATCACCTCACCTCACCTCAAACACTCAAAGGGCTGTCTGTCACACCAAGCACATTCTTTACAATCCTCCCTGGCCTCTAAAATGCCCTGGCTCTGGGCCTACAACCAACACACACACACACACACACACACACACACACACACACACACACACACACACGTTTCTCTTTATAATCTGTTCCACAAACCCCAGTCTATGTTCGCTTCTATTGCCTCTTCCTAAAGTACTTCTGCCTCTCTTTGCAGAGCCCGTGGAAACATAATTCAAGTCTTTGCCCACACCTGCTAACCTCGAGCGCACTATCTCCAGTCTGCCTTGCTCTGCTTTCTTCACAAGTCTTTTTTTTTTAAATCATTTTATTGGGGGCTCATACAACTCTTATCACAATCCATCCATCCATCCATTGTATGTCAAGCACATTTATACATTTGTTGCCATCATCATTCTCAAAATATTTGCTTTCTACTTGAGCCCTTGGTATCAGCTCCTCATCTTTTCCCCTCCCTCCTCGCTCTCTCCTCCCTCGTGAACTCTTGATAATTTATAAATTATTATTATTTTGTCATATATTACACTGTCCGATGTCTCCCTTCACTCACTTCCCTGCTATCTGTCCCCCAGGGAGCAGGTTATATGTAGATCCTTATAATCGGTTCCCCCTTTCTACCCCACCTTCCCTCCACCCTCTGGTATAGCCACTCTCACCACTGGTCCTGAAGGAATCATCTGTCCTGGATTCCCTGTGTTTCCGGTTCCTATCACCACTCAGTGTCATTTATAGTTCTTCTCATTCCTTGTCACCCACATAAAAAAGTAAGCTCAATGAGTGAAGTCAAGTGCAACTACACCTTCATGTTGTTCCAGGTTTACATCACAAGTTTTTTTTTAAGTATTCCCAAATCCATAGGCCTAGCTTCAGTATATTGTATATAAATTTTACTGAACTATTATAAAAGATTTCAATGGATGAAGAATATGGAAAATAGTTGTAAAACTAGTTGTAAAACTGAAGTATGATGTCTCAGGACAGGATGTTCTCAGTCATCTCCCTTTATTTTGTTCAAATATTGGGGGCTTAAGAAAAAAAAAACTACCTCCCAATCTTAGACACACTAAATTGTACATTTCCCTATTGCTGTTTCCCTATTCAGTTTATTCCTGAATTCTCACCACTCTAACTAATCCTGTATTTGTTCTTAAAGCTTGGGACTTACTTACAATACATAACATATGTTTTCCAACGTCAATCAATGCTCCAGGCATACAAGAAAATGAACAAGAAAGAAACTTCCTGAAGATTATTTTAACCTAGATAGAATTAGGTGCAAGAATTGCAACAACAACAACAAAAGAATTGCAACAAATAAATTGGGAATCCTTAATTAAACAAACAAACAAAACACCACAGGTTGGCATAAAATTGAGTGAAGAAGATTCTCCAGCTCATCTCTACTGTATGAAACAATCTCTATGGGAAAGACCGTAAATATGGCAGGTTAACTCTCTCAAAGCCTCACAGGTCAAAGATTCTACCTGCTTTGTTCACATCATCTGAATCAAGACTCCAAATAGAGCCTATTTCAGTGAACTGCCAAGGAAAAGAGATATTAAAGAAGAAAGCTTAACCAACTTCCTAGTCATCAAATCAATAAAATATTTCTCTTCTCAGGTAAACATGGCTCTTACAGGATCTCTATAGCAATGATAAAAACTTAATTAAAAAATAAACTGCTTTAATGCATCTTTGCCATGTCTCTTTCTTTTTTTCTTTCATAAACAGTTCTCTCTATACATCTTGTGCCCCGTAGGAAAATTTGCTGAGACTTATAGTTACTTGACACAGCATAAAAGCTGGTCAGTTGCACGATCGATTGCTGAAGACAAAGCGGGCCCATAAGCAAATGTGATGAAGAAAGCTGATGGTGCCCGGCTATCAAAAGATATAGCATCTGGGGTCTTAAAGGCTTGAAGATAAACAAGTGGCCATCT